GAATTATATAATCAATAAATAAGGCAGCATGTTCTTTATTAGGTTATACTAGAACAGATCTTGTTGGTAGACATTTAAATATATTATAACCAGAAATGTAAATTATATATAAAATAATTTAGTTATTCAAAATGGCATACAACCATAATGACAAGATTTCTTGAGAATAGTGATCTTAACTAAATATAAGAAACAAAAGAGTAAGGATGCAAAGTAATTTTTGTAAAAAATAAAGCTCATTATATTATTTAATGTTTACTTTAAGTTAAAATTATTTAAACTTAAAATCAAGAAGTCTATTTAATGGCTTAATTAATTTAAGATGTATAATTTAAACCTTATTGTTATATTTTATGTTAATCAAATGGATAAATTGAAAATATTAATTCTATGTGTATAAAAGTATTAGGAATAGATAATAAAATAATAGAAATGAAGAGATTGAATATTAATGATCTTTTTCCAAATTTCATGGATATCAAAGAAGATTATTAAACAAGATAGGGTGATAAATTAGTATACACACCCTCTTAAAAATTATCTAAAGATTTAGATTTTATAAAATACAGCTCTGAAAACATATAGTTAGATCTTCATGAATAAACTGTTTTTAATTGTTAAGTTACTGAAATCTAATTCAATTCTTTGGCTTCTGAAAATATTGAGAATAGAGTATTTGGATATATAATAAGACTGGATTTGATAAAACCATAAATAAATGGATTATAAGTTGTGAAGAAATAGTTGCAATAATAATAATGGTTTAAATTTATACCATAAAATATATATTAATTAGAGAAAGTAAATATTACTGATACTTTTGATAACTCTATAAAATTTGATTCTAGTATTATTTGGGAAAGTGCATAAAAGTAATCTGAAGACACTGTAACTTAAGAATTAATTAAATAATAAGATGAAATAAAGGGATTAGCATAAGGAATAAGAACTGTTCGTTTATTAAGAGATAAATTAGTAGATATAGATGATTAATAATAAGAGGAAGAAGATGAAGAGTCTTAAAATAATTAAATTATATAAGCCTATTAAGATGATTTAGAGGAAGAACAAAGCATTTTATAATTGAATTAAAATTATTCTTCTAAATAATTAATTGAAACTGAAATTAAATAATCATTATTACCATCAATAAATAAAAAAATGTAAATATTAATAAATACATTACTTTTAATAATAATAATTTGTATATTTACTGAATATTTTTTGGGTACAAAATTAAATGAAGATCTGTAAACAAATATTCCATATTTGAGATAAAATAATGAAAGATTAGCATTATTTTTATTAATATAATCTGTCATATAAGACTTAAAATTTTTAAATTATGGTTTCTCTCCATTATAATAACAACTTACTAATAATACATTTATTCAAATTTAAAGAAATAATTTTAAATTGAATTTAGCATAAATTGAATAGTTAGAATTAAATTTATCATTAGCAGAAGTTACTCTTATTTAGGAATATTAATTTTATGAAACCTAATTCAAAAGTTTAAATGTATAAATGAAAAACTATTATGGTGATATATAAAATTATACTCTATCAGAAACTATCTAGTAATTGATATCTGTAGCAATAAAATTGAACAATTCAGATTTAAGTGAATTTAATGATAAGAATCCATTAATATTTTACTTTGAATTTAATTCATATAATTCTTTAGCCATTGCTTAACATATATCTTAAGATTATTATTATTACAATATACTCTCAAGATCATTAGTATTAGATAAGAGTGTTAATATTTTCCTAATCATTATTTCCTTTATGACATTCATTTTGTAATTATTTTTACATATATTTTTTAGATTTTTGGCATAATTATGCTACTTTTATTAAGTTTATCATAATAAATTAGAAATAATATAATTATTTTTAGATATTAAAGAAAATCAAATTAAATAAATATATAATAATTGTGAATTATTTTTGACAGATCTACAAATTGGAGATGATGATGTATAATTTATTTAATTAATTAGCTAATATCTGAAGCAGAAGAAAAACCTGTTGAAAAAGGTGATGAAGCTGCAGTATTAAATTTTAGACCAAAAAGAAGAAAACATAAAGACTCTAGTAAAGAATTTTAAAACTAATTGTTCATTTCATTCTTTTTGAATTTGCTAATTTTCTTTTACTTTCTATTTTTAGAATTTTAAGTAGAATAAGTAGTTAGTTAAGTCTAACGAATATTACCTGTTTTAAATCTTACTAGTTCAGCAGAGAGTTTTAATAGATTTGCTGATAATGCTTTAAGATAATTTATTTATGATCCCAATTATTTGATCTATAATAATGATGGAATTGATGAAGTACAAAAGATAACAGTATCATTATATGATATTGATGCTCAAATACATCAATTACATACAGACATGTGGGATCTTTTTGAAGATAAATATAAAACTGCATTCTTTAACATATTTATTAATAATCCTTGCTCTATTATAGCATCTGTTGAAACTACTGTTACTGAAACTGTTTGTAACACATTTTATGGTGGGATAATGTAAAATGGTCTCTCAATAGGAATTACTAAGTTTGTTGAAGATTTGAGATAAACTATCAAAAATTTTGAAAGTCGTAATAGTAGCTAAAAACAAAAATATTATATGTCTGAAGATCCAGAATTGAATACTAGAATGAATTTGTTAAATACTCCTTCAGTGACTTCAATGAGAAGAATATAAAAAATATTTATAAGGGCATGCTATCGATATTTAATAGAAATTATGGAGCAGACTATTTTAGAACATTTTGACTAGACCGATATATTAAGATTGACAGTATTCTTATGTATAAATATTCTTTTGTTAATTGGTGTAACTTTTGTATGGATACCTGTTTAATTAAAGAATAATTAAGATATTTTAAATACTCGTTTATTGATTCTAATGATACCATTAGATTTAATTTTAAGGTAATTTTAATATATTTATATATAATAGAATTAAATCCATTAAAAATTACCTAAGAAATAAAATCTATCATTGATTATAATTAAATGTCCAATTTTTTATAAATAATTATTCTTATTTCACAGAATTCCATACTTTTCATTTTTCTGATTTTTTAATTAAAAATCTACTCTTAAATGATAAAAATAAATGAGTAAAGACTAAAAGTATTAAGTCTATCGATAATGAAAACATTAGATATTATTATTTACAATAAATAACCATATTTCTCTCATTGTATAAAAATATTTATATGAATTATTATATAATGAAAGTAGATTTTTATGAAATAATTAAAGTATTATATATACTACTTATTTAATCTTAGATTTATTAGATATATATAAAAAATGATCAATTAGATATCATACTTCAATGTAATAATTATATTCTATCATGACAATATCTATGGTATTTCCTAATCATAAAGTCAGCATCAATTTTCTTTTTAGCTGGAGCTTCATTTAATAATTCTTGATATTTCTATTCGCAATCATACTTCTTAATAAATTCTTCTTGATCCATCTTTAAATTATCCATAGCATTTTCTAAATTATTCAAAATCACCAATCTTATTATTTATTGAATATTTACCTAGGACGTAATACTGTCCAATAATCAAATTCTAATATCTAAGGAAAATATTATGAATCCTTAATTTTAATATTTAAATGTTTTTCAAAAAATTTCAATTTCAATTTAAGTGTTTAAACACTCTTTATGAATAAATTTGGACATATTTATAAAATCTATCCTATCTAATTTAATGATAATCCAAGTTCTTTGAATAAATTAATCTTTGGACTTAACATATAAGCTGGTGTTAATAGTAATAATTTATGATTATTTATTAATAATTAATGCTAAACTTCCTTATTTGGAATTAAAACATCATAATGATTTAATAATCTATCTAAATCATGATTTTTAAGTGCTAAAAACTCTGAAGTTTTTTAAATCTAATAAATTATAATAAATTTCATACTAATTCTTAAATTTCTTTTGTTTTATAATCTCTATTATACATAACTCTAAAATTTGGTGGTATTCTTTCAAGATTGAATGAAAATAAAAATGGAGTATTAACCAATATTTATCCAAATTGTTTATCATTAATATGTGCATATGTATTAAAAACATTTCTAAATTTTTCATAATTAACTTCAAAATTTCTCATTAATAAAGGATATGCTGTCAACATAGATAAAATGTCTTCTTTTTTTATTTGTAGTTATTTTTCAAAAAGGTCAAGATAATTGTTCATCTTTTCAATAGGATGGCTCAATATTTATGGGTCTTTAAAAAGGATAGTTCGCATTTATCTGTATTAATGTGATCGAAATTTACTTTGTTTCTGCATTCAATCTATTTTTGAATAACTCATTTAGTTGTCCAATATCATTTAAAGTATTCCCTTTGACAATAGAGAGACCTCTGTTTTTGAAAATTCTGAAAATCATTTATTCATTAAATCCCATTGATTCATAGATATTTAGAGTAGGTTTAACTTGAGTTTCGTAATCATAAATGGTAGCAAATTTTGTATTTTATATTTTTTCTGCAAATTTAGCATAAGAACTGAATCTAAAAAAGATGGCCTTCATTTAATAAATTAATATTTAAATATATTTTCATTGGTTATATACAACCACTCTAATTTTAGTTTCAGGAATCTAAATTATTTAAATTCCACTTATTCCTAATGTTAATTGTTTTAATTGAGTTATTATATTAGCTTGGTTAATTATATTCAAACAAGCAACATCACTAATTGAACATCCTTTCATATTAATTACAAGTTATTATAAATTCTTATATTCAATTATGATTGCCATCATTTATTCAACTAAATAATCAGAAATTTGCTAAGGAGATAAATTAATATATAATTGTATCACATTTTCTCTTTTAATTCTTTCCATATAAAATAAGAACATTTATTATACAACTTGTTAATTTAAAATCATATGAATTATATATTTTCTTTTTTACTTCTCTTTTAAATATTTGTCTAATTCTTCAAGTTATAATTAAGAAATTGAAGTAATCTATTTAAATTAACATTTAAACTTAAATTTTTTCAGTTTTCTCTTCATTTTTTAAATATTCTAATTTCATTGGTAAAAGACATTGAGCAGTATTAGCAACATCTACTAATGAACATCTATCAATTGGATTACGTATCAACATATTTCTAATTAAATTTCCTAACATTTCCCTAATTTAAAAAATATCATACCCATATTAAAATGAAACTAAATTCAATTTATTTTCAATTTAATCTTATGAAATCAATTCAGCAGGTAATGTAAGTGAAGCCATTGATAAAATTACTATACCAATTTACCAAACATCTGTTCTAGATGAAACATTAAAATTGTTTTTGAAACCATATTAAATTGATGATGTATTATTTTCAGGTGGTTATAAAGCTTAATAATCATTAATATCTTAATTATAATAAACATGATATTTCTTTTTGTAGGCAAGAACAGGAGATAAACCACCAACTTTGAATCCTTTATTTTCATCATAAAACAAATAACTTACAGAGAACTATTTCTAAAATATCTATAAAAATTATAAATATTGAGCCACTGATACTAATGCTATAATTGCTTCAACAATAACTTCTAATTGAAAAAGATTATGAGTTTAAGCTCTTAAAAATATAATTTCATTCATTGGTTATTCCACCCATTCCTCAACTGCATATATAGTATCATACTATAAGTCAACCATTTTAAGAAATTAATTATATACAGTTTTCTTGATCTTCTTATTAAAGAAAGATTTATTTTTAATGAGGTGACCTATCTCAAAGCATTTTACAATATAAGTGAAATCTGATATCAATAATTATGATCTCTTAAAATTTTCATATTCAGCTTTAGCAAAATCACTTTGAGGTATTAAATATTAATGAATTGTGAGAGCCACTTATCGAACACTTACTCTAAACACTTTATTAAATTAACTCTTCTTTATTTATGCTGATTTTTTGTAATTCCTATAAAGTATCTCTTTCGTTAATTTACCAAAAGTTAAAAGCTTTAATCTTTCAGGATCAAATGTATTGCAAACAAAATAATTTATAGCATCAGTTTTGTAGATTAAAATTCTTAACTATAAATATTTTCTTACTTATTAATTTAAGCTAAGTAAGCTTAAATAACTTTAAGATGTTCTTGTAATTCCTCTTTGCTTTCACTACTCTAAAACCATGAACTGAAAATTGACTTCTCTGGAAATTAAGGCAACTAATTTATTTATATTGTTAAATCTCTTACATTAAGTTAATAATTATCAGACATGAGGTTTCGAGATAATTGATTAAGATCTTAAAAACGTACTCTCACATCACGATAACAATTAGAATAGTTGTTAGTAATTCTAATACTGTAATACTATTTATTTTCATAGGACTATATATCAATGATTTAAATCTAATATTACATTATTTATTATTATGTTTAAATTTATTATAAAAAATATTTCCATAAATTAAAGTATTTAGTCTTGTGATTATAATCAAATAAAACTCTTAAATTTAAATTCAAATAGACTAGTTATAATCAATTAATTTTATTAATATCTAACAAAATAAAATTATAATATTCTAATCACCATATTTAAATTAATGTTTTTAGAGAATAATTAGTGTTTTTATTAAATTCTTATCAAAAGAATTGATTAATAAATATCATAATTCTCTAATAAAATTATTATTATTTTCATTAATTCTAAGTTAGAATGAATGATGTTTAAATCTAAATAATAATTATATTTTATTATTCAAATAAAAAATACTTACTCACTATATATATCTTTTATTTAATTTTTTTAAGACTTAAGATGCTTAATTGATTCGATTATTTATTCAAAAATTAATAAAAGGATTTGAATTTATAGCTTAAAATAATATTTAAATGATTTTTAATTTTTCCAATTAATTATGTTAATCCCTCTTTCTTTTTTAATAAAATTTACATTTTACCCAAAATTGAGCTTTTCAATTTAATAAAATATATTAAATTCAATCAATAATAAACCCATTAATTAAATAAAGTTATAAAAATGTGATTAAAGAACTTGATTAATTTAGTTTAAATTTAAAAAAAAATAATATACTAATTTATAAAGATAATCTTAATTTATTAAAATAAAAAATTATAATATCATTAAGTTATATATAATATTTTACATATGTAAAAAATAGAAATTTACTCTCTATCAAATACTAAACACTATATAAAACTATAAGTTTATAAATTGAATTTATTAAAAAAATAAACTCTAGAGATAAGTAGACAATTAACATTAACAATTAATATATTTTATTGATGAAAGTGATAGGAAATAGAAAGAGAATATTAATCTTATGGAATTACAAAAGAAAATATTGTTTTTATGTTAAGCAATCTGAATTCAATCCGCATCTTCAATATCTTCATAATAATCAAACTCCTCCAATGCAACAGAATCAACAGTCATATCTATTCCTTATGATTATGATTATTGCATGTATTCATCCGATTCTTAAAACTAATCTTATTATAATTAAGAATCTCTCAAATCCTAACATATTATAATATATATACTTCTCCTTCTAATTGTTCTTCTAAATCTTCATTATCAAATTTTTCATCCTCGTAGTTTCTATGTTCAAATTTTTTTGCTTAAGCTTTTCTTTATTCAGCTTCATGTTTCTCTCTTTCTTATTATTATTTAAGTAGTTCTTGTTATTTTTATTGTTCTTTCAATTTTTCTTATTCTTTTTTTTATTATTCTTATTTTTATAATTCTTATCTTTGTTATTCTTATTTTTATTATTATTCTTATTATTTTTTTAATTCTTCCATTTTTTTTTATTCCTCTTATTATTTTCTTAATTATTCTTTTTTTTATTCTTCAATTTTTCTTTGTTCTTCTTATTATTATCTTCTTAATTCATCTTATTTTCTTTATTCATCCTATTTTTTTTGTTCTTCTTACTTTTTTAATTCCTCTTATTTTTTTAATTCATCCTATCTTTTTTATTCTTAAAGTTTTTGTTCTTGTAATTTTTATTATTGTTACTACTATTACTATATTTGGACTTCTTTAGGGGAGGGTTATGCAATTTTTTGTTGTTATCCTTTTTCTTCACTAATATAAAATGCAATTTAAAAAATACGATTTTTTTTCAGGTTATCTATTTTTTAACAAAAAGTATAATAATGGTTTGGTTGAATCATTGGCATCTATATTCAATTTTTTTGCAATCTAATCTCGATTGATATCTTCTCTTAAGTTGCTTTCACTATTATTATATTTATAATCAATACCTTGAAAAAATTGAGTTGGTGTAGTGCATTTCAAAAAATAATAAAAACTCTTTAATTAATTCTAACATATCTCTTCCACATCCTAATTCATAAATGGTTTAAGCTTTGTTATTTTCCCAAAAAAATGGAGATGGTTTTTTATTATTGCCCTCTTATTAATCAACTACATTAAAGACTGATGCTCTTATCTGAGCTCTAATCTTTGCTAGAGATCCATTAGCCTCAAGAGATTGTATAACTAAGTTTTTAAGTTCTGTTAACTCCTACATTATTAAAATTTGAAAATATATTTATTGAAAAATAAATTTTTTAATTAAATACTTATAATATGGTTAAATATTACATTATACATGTATTTATATATATAAAATTATCACTTAATAAACAATTCAAAAGTATGTAATTCTATTAAATAATTTAAATTAAATAAATATAAAATAAGTTCATCGTTTTGTTAAAGGACTAACAGCTCTGAATTAATTTATGATATTTTATTTTAGTGAACTTATATTGTTACTAGTGTTACTAAATACTTTTGTTTATTCTTAATCTGGTTTATCTGGTCTAAGTTTTTAATTTTAAACAAGTTTTTAAAGTTCATTAAATTGAACATTTTTTTAAATATTGCTAATATTAGAAGTTTATTGTTAATTATTTGTATGTTATTAAATCTTCGAAAAAATAAAGTTTTTAATATTTTAGGCATTAGAATTAGGATTTGTGTTTTCATTATTAAAATTTATATTATTACCTTATGTTGTTAAATTTTATTATTAATTAGTAGTATTATGAAAACTTTCATTTTATTCTGTTTAAAGTCTGTTATTTAAGAAAGATTTTTAAAAATTTGTGTTTTTACTTAAAGGCATAGGAGAAACAGTTTATTATTTTGTAAAAGGTGATTAAGTAGCACTAACTGTTTTAATCTATTAAGTTTAAGGAGTTAATTTATTTATTTAACTTTTAAATTATAAATTGGGACTTTAAAAAGGAGAATTAGTAGTCTTTGTATTCCCTCTTGAATTAGATGGTCTTGATTATTCTAATTCTTCAAGAGCCTTTTATATTGGTCTCTTTTCTTCAAAATCATCTTGTTTATAAGTATATCCTACAAAAGTCATTTCTTTCTTTGTTGTCTTCTAATTCTTATTAATCCAAGGCTCTTCTTCCTCATATTTATCAAAATTGCTAGTATCTAATTCACTTCGAATAGTTGGAATATATGGTGCCTTCATGTCTCTTATTTTTATAATAGACAAACCACCAAACCAAGGATGTCTTATAATTTAATCATATGTTAAACGTGTATTTGCATCACAAACTAATTTACTAATTAAATCTTTAGCTAATTAAGACACTTTTGGTTCTTCTGGAAATGCAAAACATTACTAAAATCGAATTATTCTTTAACAAGTTGTTGATGGATCATCAGTATAAAATGGAGGATATCCTACAAGCATTTCATATAATATGACTCCAACACTCCACCAATCAACTGATCCATCATATCCTTATTATAAAAATACTTCTGGTGCTATATAATCTGGAGTTCCAACAGTAGAAAATGCTTTCTAAATTATATTTAATTTATTTTACTTCTCTTCTAGTCTATTTAGATTTAAATTTTTATGAAAATACAGGTTTATCAAAATGAATATCAGCATCTTTACATAAACCAAAATCAGATAATTTTATATGTCCATAATTATCTAATAAAATATTATCTGGTTTTAAATCTCTATGTATAAATCCTAATTTATGAACAGAAGCAACAGCTTATACTAATTCTGCCATATAAAAGCGAGCCTCAGCTTCTGATAATATATCTTTTTTCATTAATAATGTCATTAAATCACCACCAGGTAAATATTCCATAACTAAATATAAATTTTTTTCATCTTAAAATGAACATTTCATTTCAACAATCCAATTATTTCCTTTAGCTTCTTCTAAAACCTTTCTTTCATTTGTTACATGACCAATTTAATTCTTAAAAATCATTTCATGTTTTTTCATTTTCTTCACTGCAACAATTTATTAAGAAGGTACATGTCTACATAATCTTACTTCCCCAAAAGCTCCTCTACCTATAATAGCTAGAGGTTGAAAATCCTCAATATTTAATTTAGTCCGCCTATAAAATTTGAAATTTTGAATACTTTTTTCTCATTTATTCTGCTTCTTTTTTTAAAATTTCTTTTTTAATAATTTCTTACTCCTTTGGATTCATATGTAGAGCATCCATAAGTTTTGATAATTACTACCAACCTTCAAATTATTATTATTCTTCTTATATTTATTTTGCATATTTTCCTGTTTAAAAAATAATCATAAATGAATACGTTCTATGTATAATCTACAAGCTTCAACTCTATCTCGAGTGGCATTTGAAATTTGTATTTCCTTTTTTCCAATCATTAACGATATTTATATTAATTTTTATTTTATTTTGAATTTATACAAAAAATAACAAACATGTAGATATTATATTTATATAAATTCATGCATATATGCATAAATAATAAACAAAACCTCAATTAAAAATAATCATTGTGCTTTTTTATGAAGCTAATCATTTATAATGAGCAAGATCAGGTTAATTTAAGAAATTCATAAATAGTTAAACATTTTTTAAGATAAAATAATACAATACTATTTCTTTTACAGTCTAATTATTATACTTATTCAAAAGAAATTATATTTACTTTTTTTAGATTTAAGTTTAGATTGAACTCAGCCTTTTAAAATAAATAGTCTCAACTAAAAAATCTTTTAATTTAGATATTATACATAATAAAGAATGTTATTAATTAAATCTTAATTACATAAACTTTATATTTTATCAGAAATATCATCTAGCTATGTTTTATATCAATTTCTAATTAAATGAAATTCCTTCTAATTTAATCGATATTTTTAATAACTATTCTATTTGATTTCAAAAGTTAATAAATTTACAAAAAAAAAAATTTAATTTTAGTTTCTTAGAAGATTTTATTAAAATTCTTATAACTATATTTACTTATGTTTTTATTCTATATTAAATAAGCGAAAAAAGGCCTATGTTTTAAATTAAAATATTAAGATAAATACTTAATCTAAATTAAAGAGGATTATAAAATTAAAAAAATAGATGAAAATAATTTAAAAGTTAAGGAAATTAAACTTGAATAAATGAAAAAAAATAAATAAATAAAAATATCATTTAAGATTTAAGTTGATTAATTTAATTATTAACATTGAATTTAATAAAAATTTTGTATATATATCTTAAGTGACGATCCTAATCTATTATTTGATAATTATCCTGTTGTTACAAATATGTTTGTTAATTGTTATCTTAGTTATCATTATTAAAATAATCTATTTTAAGATTTATAAACAAATCTAATAGCATTTTTAAAGCAATCAGATAAGATTTTATATTAATTATTTTGATTCAAAAATGGGTGATCATAATTTTGTTTTTAGTTCTGGGTACAAATTAAACATTAAAAATGAATATTTGAATTGGTCTCAAATATATATTGTAATAATTCTAATAATTATTAAATGTCTCTGCAATTAGAAATCATTTAATAAGACTTAATTACTATGAATATGAATATTCTAGATTTAATCTTAAATCCCATAAATTTTAAAGTAGTAAACTTTAGTTTTATTCATAAGGTGTGGCCAAATTTAATCATTTATTCCTAATTTTTATAGAAAATGAGTAAAATAATAAAATTAATAGATATCTTCTAAAAATATTTATTTATTTAGATTTTTTCATTAGTTTCTCTATGCTAAAATTTCATTTAAACTTCGATTTGGATATTATAAGAAATGCTTATACATTTTTGCAGGATTAGCTTTTTAAAACTGTTTAATCAGCATTCAAAATTGGATTATTCATTATATTTTTTTTCAATGATATTTATTTTAACTTGATTGATAAATTTTTTATATAAATCTTTTATTTATATATAAAAAAGTATTAGATTCTATTATATAAAATATATTCCATTTTTAGTATTCCTTTTAAAAAATATATTTAGAAGAGAATTTATAAAATTTTATATCCTAAAAATTTATTTAAAAATGATAAATCTCATAAATCTTAATATAATTCATATAGAACTACTCTTGTTTCTTCATTTATTATAGGACCTATTCTTTATCTTAATTAATCATTTGTTATTTTTATATCCTCTCTTTTAATTTCTTATCTTAAAACGTATTTTTATAAAATATAATTAGTTAACTCAGATAAAATATTTATGTTTTTTTATTCGAAATCGTGTATTTCATAATCTATAAATAATTCAAGACCCTCAATTTGAGAATAGCTTTTATCTGATTTTAACTTTTATTCTGTATTTGAAGGTAATAAATAAGTAAATGGATTGACAAGAAACTTTAAAATTAATTTATTAGTTGTCTTTTCAATTTTTGGGAAGATAATCACATCAAAATAATCTTCTATTTCAAAATTTTCGAATTGCTTAAGATAATATCTAACATTATCTAGCTATTTGCCTTTATTTTGTTGATCATTTTCACATTGCATTGCAGTTTGATTATTTAAAAAGGCTTCATAATCTTAAGACCAAAAAACCTTAATTCTATAATATTTTTCTTTATTAATAAATGCTAGTTTGTAGAGTTCGTCTCCTAAAGTTCTTAAGTACCATTCAAGAATATTTTCCCATACATTAATATCGTTAGAAACATTAAGATTATTTGAATAATTTTTTAAGTATTCAACTTCTTTTTCATCTAAATATGTATTGTGAGGATTGGCAGCTGAAGAATTGTTTTAATGACTTCTCTTAATGTTAATGATTTTTATCTTTTAATTAAGTGGTTTATTATCTGTCATAATAAATTAAATATTCTTTTTTTTTGAGAAAAGTTATTTGCCTTATACATAAATTTATATAGATTAGCAATTAAAAATTAATTTATTTCTATTAAGGATAATATGTTTCTGATTTAATACATTTGTTTCCCTTTCCTTTGATTCTTTCAATAGTTTTCAATCCTGATATTAAATCAAATATAAGAAATTTAGATATATATATATTTTATGTCTTGATATATTCTCAGATTTTTAATATATCCTTATTTATTATTAATAAATAAAAACAAATTATCTTAAATCCTTCATATTACTAGAATAATCATTTAAATATTACCTATTTTTAAGATAAAAACTAGTAGATTTTAATTTTATATTATGCTATAAAAAAAGGATTGCTATATTAATAATCAATAAAAATAATTAATAATACTAATTGTTTTTTTAATAATAATGATTATATAACATATTAATCAATTAGAAATAATCAGATTTACTATCTATTACACTTATAATTTATTAATCTAATATTTATTTAATTAAAATTAAAATGAATAATTGATACAATATGAAACCATCAATATTAATTACAAAATAAGACAAAGTTCAAATAATATATGAACTGAATAATAAGATGAATATTAAGTTATGTCTGAAAAATGTTTAAAAGGATTAAAAAAATAATATTTGAAAAGAACTATCTTTCAGAATCATTGTTTTAATAACCAGATTAAATTGCTGACAAATTTAGAAAAAATTTAGTTGAGATACTTAAATTAGGTATTTCAAAAATATAGGAGTTAAACCTCTATAGTATGATAGCTTTTATTTAAGAGTGATAAAATTTGTGATCACTCCTGATTTTTATTTAGCATCAATATTTGGTAATAGGCTAATTTTGATTTTCTTAATAAAAATAATTTTATTTCTTATTCAATGATTTTAAATTATTTAGAATAAATATTATAATTTGGCTTCTTTTATACTTTGAAAATTTGATTCTTTTTATTCATTTAATATAATCATAATTAAGACTAATCAAATAAATCAACATTAGATTAAGATTTATTATTTCATAATTTAAAATAGACTTGTAACTATTCTGTATATATATTAAAAATAGGATTCATTATTTTATAAGTATTTAGCACAGGCCAATACTAATAATATTATTTAATTGAAGTAGTATCAAAATCATGAGTTATTTTTCGGATAAACGAAATATATTTTATCATAATAATTTTAGCTTTGGTGTTTTCAAAAAAATTGATTAAAATCTATTGTAGAAGCAAAAAGATATTCCAACTGATTGTAAAATCCTTATTTTAAATATATTACAATAAGTTATTACGCTTACAATTAAAATAAGATAATTAAAAATTAATATCACCTATTTGTTCGATTTTACTATAATTTATAACTATTTTTCTTTTTGATAAAAAAAGATCTAAGTTAAATTGGTAATGGCTTATGTATTGTTGACACATAATAAATGATTAGATATAATTTTTTAGTATTTTTGATCAAATAAACTATTGATTTATTTAAGATCTAATTATTTATTTATTTAAATGAAAATAGAATTAAAAAATTACACCTATATAAAAATAAAATCATTTAACAGGACTAGCTAAGATAGTTTATACATCCTCTCTACCAAGCAAAGTTTAAAGACGAGTAACATATTATTTGTAGTCTTCATCTGAATATACTGAATAATATTCAATAGCCTTAAATTTATCATTTTAATTACTTATTAATATGAATTCATTAAGTTATTTAAAGATATTTTATTCAGATTCTTTGACAACTCTACTTCATTTAAACTCAATTATTGCAAGAGTTCATTAATTTTAATGGTTTCAAATTTTTGTAATGTCACATCATCTTAATTAAATTTCTTTCCAATTTAGCATAATTTATATGAATTAATAGAATTATAAAGCTAATTAAAATTAGCTGAAGTTAAAGTTTAAGGAATTAAACTACCATCATTTATTTACCAATTTAATATTAAATTTTTTTAAACTCTCTGAATGTATTGTAGGTTTTTCATACATTAATAATTTAATAACATTAATTCTTTACTCTAAAATTCAAAATATAGAATGTGACTATCACTAATTAATAATGTTCTTGGAAATTATTTTCCATTAATTATTTATTTACATTGCAAATATTCAACATTTTCTAAACCAATTCTTATATCAAATTCTTAATTCTCATAGTATTTACCTAATTATAGAAGATAATCTTTGTCATTTTAATTATTTTTAATTGTTTCCTTGAATAAAAATAATTAACATTACTAAAAATTTGGGAAACATTGTAATTATTTCATAAAGCAAGATTTACGGACTCCAGGGTCCTTATATAATATTTTCTAAATAGTCTCGACCATCAGACAATGTTGGTTTTGTGAACTTTGATTTATATTAATTTTACTTAGCTTAATATATGCACTTTTGGAAAGACAAATGGAAATCTATTATCTAAATATAAAGCAAATATTATGGGTTTTTATTAATTAAGTTAATCTATTGGAGGCATTTCGATCTACTTTATTAAATATATTACAATAATTTATAAATTTGGGCTTAATGCTTTTAATGTTATCTTAAAATCTTCTTTCTTTAATTATTCAATTGATTAAAGTTCTATGATATTAGATTTAATTACCTTTTTTAAATCTTTTAATTTAAATCTCATTTTTGAAGATTTCTGTAATTATACTCTCAACATTATCCATATTATTAAATTATTATATTTATAAAATTAAAATTCATAGAATAGAATTTAAAGATGTTTAATTATTCTTTAATCATAATTCTAATAAATTTATTTAATAATCTTTGCTCCATCTAAAAGAAATTATGGAACTCAATATTTCTATTAACGATTCTAATAATTTGATTCTAATTTAATAAAAACTTAATAAATACATAAATTATTAGTATAATAACTATAATATTATAATAAGGTTCATTTTAAAAGGATTATAATTTTTAAAAATCATTAATATCTTGGATATGGATCTATTATTTAGTCAAATATGAATGTAAAATCATAAATGCAGAATATTTTGAGTAAAATAATTGATTCAAAACAAAAATTTTAATTGGAGAATAAAAAGATCAATTTTATACAAAAGTAATACTAACTAAATTTGGAGTTATTTTTTTTAATTTCTGCTTTATGCATAGCCTATTTATAAATCATAACCTAAAAAATAATTTAATTTTCTAATTAAACAAGAATCCTATAGATTTAATATTTTATTCTTTACTTTCTTTATTTATATTTTTATCAATTCATCAATATCAAATTAGATACTAATCAAAATAAAACAGGTAGGATTATTTTTATTATCAATATTAATCTCTTGATATGCAATTTAAAAATGGAGGATTTCTACAATTAATATTAAACTTTTGGACTATTGCTTAATTCAGCTCTATTTAGTTCTTATTTGTCTCATTGTTATGGGAAAATAAACTAAAGATAATTTACTCTATTATTAGTAAAACAGTCTAAATGATATCTTGAATATTGTCATAAAAGGTTTAAAAGTAGAATTTATTAAATTAAAGGTATTAAATAAATATATTAAAAATATTCTTCTGCAAATATTTTATATCACATCTGTTACTATTTTCTAGTTTTGTGTGTATTTCTCAATGCAAAAGCTTATAATGATTGTTTTTTTATTATTACTGAGAATGAAGATGTATATTTGAATTAAAATCTTTTATTTAATTAAAAATGGTTGTCAAATCACTTGCTCATAAAAAAATTGTACATAAGAGAACAAAAAGATTTGTTAGATTCGAATCAGAGGATTATCCACATAAATTAAGACCAAGTTGGAGAAGACCAAGAGGTATTGATAACAGAGTCAGAAGAAGATTTAGAGGCAATAGACCTATGCCAAAATCAGGTTACAGAAGCGATAAAAAAACAAGGTATATATTTATTAAATCAATTTAGATATTTAGACTAAGCTGGTTTCAGAAAATTATTAATCACAAATGAAAAGGATCTTGAATTATTGCTTACTAATAACAGAACTTTTGCAGGTGAATTGGCTCATAATCTATCTGCAAGAAAAAGAGCAACACTTGTCAGAAGAGCTGCTGAACTTAATGTAAGATTAACAAATGGCAAAGGTAAAATAAGAGCAGAAGAAAAAAAAGAATGATTTCATCTATTCAATATTAGAAACAAATACATTAAATTATATATAAATAGTATAATTACTTAAAATTTAAAGTATTTCTCATCAATAAGAATAAAATTAATGAGAGTAAAAGCAGTTGGAAGATAAAATTTATTATTTCATGTAGATAGATTTCTTAATTAAAACAAAGATCTTCTCTGATATGATATTTAAGGATATCATACATTTATCTATATTTATTCTAATAAATTTTATTATAAAACAAAATTATCAAATTAATTTTCTTATTTGGCAAAATATATCTAAATTTTCTATTTCATTTGTATAAAGTTGTTTAAAAAATCTAACAAATTTTATGAACAATATTTTTATTGATAATCAAGTATTATAATGTATTCCTTTTATTAATTAATATATTTAAATAGAAATTGTTCAAATTTCACAAAAGTTGCCTTGTCACTTTTTTAAATTATATATAAGTATGGTTAATTAATTTACAATATTCTAAAATTTAGTCACATTGGTATTCTGAATAATGATATATTCTATAATTGATATATAAAAATAAAATAAATAAAATATTATTAATAGAATAGATTTTAGTTTCATTATTTAATTATTTAGTGTTTAAATAGTATTTCTCTATAAAAATCTAGGTCCTCTTCGTATTTTTCAGAAATCTTTTTTATTATAGACTCAAGCTTCTAAAATAGTCTACTTCTTCTTGTAATTATTAATTTTACAACTTTAATTCATTGATAGTAGAGACTTTTATTTTTAACTTTTCTTAATAAAATAAAGTGTCAACTACTTCTATTTTAGATTGAGTTATATTGCTTTGATTATGTCTACATAAAAATAAATAAATTACGTGTTTCTAAATCTTTCAAATTCATCTCTTAATTTTGATAGAACCTATCTAAATTATTTAAGTTCTTCAACTAAATTTTAATTTTCTTCTATTTTTTAAGTAAGTAATTCTTAATATTTTAATTTATCATCTTTTTCTTTTTTTAATTCTTAATCTAATTATCGTACACTTTTAAATTTATCCTAATTAATTATATTTTCCATTTCTGCATTTTCATTTCTTAGTTTGTTTAACATTTCATTTTTCACTTCTAATAATTTTACTATTTCACTAGAAAGCTTTTCATATTTTTTAATTGTTTCTTATTAATTTCTTAATTATAACTGATATAGCATTAATAATTAATTTTAATTATTGTAATTGTTTAGTTAAATTAACAATTTCTTTAGTTAATGCTTCACTTTGTGAATCTAATTGTTTTGTATTTGTTGGTTTTATTTCTTTTTATTGATTGTCTTTCTAATTATTTTTTTTATAATTATCTCCACAAAATTTTAATTTTTTTATAGTGATTCTTTAAGAAGACTATTTTACTAAAGATTTTGCTGAATCTAAAATTTTCGTAGAATTGGATTAATCCTGTTGTTAAATAAAGGATGGTTAATTGATTTCAGAGACAGTGGAATTACTTAATGAATAATCAGAAATGATTTCATCCTCTTTTGTTTAAACTTCAAAATTCTATTTAGGTATGTTTTTCAATACAAAGTAATTATTATCCAAGATACTTTTGCAACATAGAATTCAATTCTTTTAACTTTCTTTATGGATTTTAATATGTAATATACTTTTATAAATTGTTCTCTTTTTATAGTAGTAATTATTCGTCTTCAAGTCTTCACACAAAATCTACTTAATATTCTAATGCTTCTTATAGATCCTATACTTCTTTATTTATTATATTTTAAATTAGGTTGTAATTGATTTAAATTATATAAAGAATAAATTCTATTCTTAATATGCTAGATCATTTACATATAACATAGAGAAACATTATCTGATTTCTATTAAATATTTTGATTATCAATTAGAAAGAAAGTAATTTAATGTGAAAAACTAATTGTCAAGGACTATAATTATAAAATTAATAAATGGCTAAATAGTTTTACTTAATTTTTTCTGATAAAAAAATAAAGTTGAAAAGAAAAGAATACATACTTGGAAGGAGTAAAGCTTAAGCATCAATAGTAATTAAAAATGATTCAATTAGCAGACAACATGCTAAATTGATTGTAGGCAAATCTAGTATCACCATATAAGATTTAGGATCTTCTAATGGAACAGAAATTAATAATAGAGCTATTAAACAAAATTAATTAGTGTTGTTAAGGGAAGGAATGAAAATAAAATTGGGTGAATATGAATCTGAACTTGAAATATAATTTGAAACTATAGAAAGTGATGTAGAACTTTCAAGATCTAGAAGTAGATCAGGTTCAAATAAAAAAAAATAATAAAACAAAGCTAATTAGGAATAATAAAAAAAATAAAAAATTTGGAACATGGGAGGATTAAGTAAAGAAAATTAAGATAAACTTAAAAAATTAATGGGAGCAAAAAATGAATCAGATGATGATGAATAGGAAAAGTAAAAGGAAGAAATTGAAAAGAGAAATAAAGAATTAGAATTACAATACAAAAGGGCGATGTAAAGATAAAAATAGAAAGGTATTGGTTTATGAAATATATTTATTTATTTATTGATTATGAAACATTTATCAAATACCTACAAACTCTTTAAAAACCATATTAGTTTTTACTGATTTATTTTAATACAATGTATTTAAAAATTAAGCTAATGCTTCTTATCTATAGGTTACAACATCTTATTATTTTGAGGGTGGTTCATTAGGTAAAACTGGAATTTAGTACCTATCTGCCAGCTAAAATTAATTAATTAATTCTAACCTTTTTATATAATTCTTTAAAATCATTATATCTTCTTTAAACAGTTGCTACTGTTTGTCCATTGATTACTCCCTCAATTTTATAATACTAATTTATTATTATTTCATACAGTAGTTTATTAAATAGTTTTAACTTCTTTAATTATGAATTTGTGACCATGTCCCATTCCTGATTATATAGTAGTTGAAAATCGATCATTATTTCGTTAAAAAAACTATGATTGATCATATGATGAAGATGCCATACTAGTTTTAGGATCAAAACTATCATCATTATAATCTCTTTCTAAATAACTTTATTTTGATGCTACACTTGCCTTTCTTATTTCCAAAAAATCATCAAATACTTTATCTTATAATACTTAATCTATATTAGTTTCCTCTAAAATTTAAATAAAAATTTACTTTCATCTTCTAAATGAATAGGACCAGATGTTTCTTCTAAAAATTTATCTAAAGTTGGACATTACATTTAATGTTTTACTATAAATTATAAAAATTTTTCAAGTGCTTCACTTCTACTTGCTACTTCTTTACCACTCAATCTTTCATTAACTTTTCTTTCAGGTATTTCAGGAAAAGAATGATCAACATATATTTATTATAATGCTAATCTTAATTATTAAAATTCTTTCAAATTATGTTCAGTTCTTACTTATCTTTATTTAGAATTTGAAAAATAGAATATCTTAAAATATATAAATCTTTTTCCTTATTTTTTAATTTCTTCAAATCCTTCAATTTTTATACTTTGTATTTCATATTTTGATTTTACAATGACATCTTATTATTTTTATTAATTTTATTATTCTTAATTAATAATTAAATCTTAATTATTATGTTCATTTTCTTATTATTATGGTGATTTTTATTACTATTAATTAATTTCACTATCTTATTTTAATTTATTTAATTTTTCATCTAATTATTTATGCATATCCATAATTTAACTCATTAATTCTTTTTGTTCTTTTTCTTTTTAAACAGCTTCTTCTTCTTTCTTTAATCCATAAGTTGGATCAATTAATCCTGATTATTCCTATTTTAATTTTTATATGCCAGATGATCCTATAGAACTTTAAGAACCCTCTTCTTTAGTCAATTCATCTAACTAATCTAAAAAGGATTAACTTCTTTTTGGATTTTTAGATATTGATTATCTTTAATTTGTATTAACAATAGAATTTTATTTAGTATTAGATTAATTAAGTGAATCATCATTAACCAAATGATGCTATAAACTATTGAAACTGATAAATATATTATCATCACTATTTTTACTAACTTTTTAATAATCAAATTTTGGAAAGAATATGCTTATTATATTAATAACAAGCATAATTATGAAATTGCATAAATATACTGATGCTTCAACAGTTAATTCATCAAATCCTCTATTTTCATTTTCTAAATTTCTCTCAATTCCAAATACTATACCTGATGTTAATTAAATAAGTAAAATAATGGCTAAAGCTAGACGCAATTCTCTTAAACATAATATTTTACATACTTTGAAAATTTGAAAATAGAGCGATAATCAATATAAAAAAAGAATGCACATAATATCCATAAAAATATGTTGGATACTTCCATAAATCCAAAACTCATATCCCACATAATTATCTTATATAAATGAATATTTTATATACAGAAACTATGCTTGCTATTATTAAGATACAAAATCCTACTAATACACCAACAAACTTTGCAAATATTGGAAAATTACAATCACTTCTATAATCTCTATGATAATCTTAATACTTATTCTTACATTGTGTAATCTTTTATTACTTGTCTTATTCTTTTCCATTCTCTTTAATAATATTCCTTGTTTTTAAACAATATTCCCAAAACAAGAAGCAAACCAAATATATTCAAAACATAAATGATCGTGCAACTTATATAATTATCTGCACAATACATAATATTTATAGATTAATTATTTATAATTTCATTTTTCTTCCAATCTGTATAAATGAAGAGGAATCTAGACTGATTCATTTCCTATTTCTGCCTTAATAAATCCAAATTCATTGCTAATCACCCATTATTTAAATACTATTGGATCCATTTATTACTTTATATTATATTATAGAATACGCCCTATTATGCAAATTTCATAAAGATCTATTAAACTTAAGTATAAAGTTTATTCAATTGTCCTTAAGCCCAAGCATTTATTTTTGATTATGTTAATTAATATTGATTCTAACCTGAACAAACTTTTTCTCCCAATAATCTAAATGCACTCAACCAACTATCTTTTACAAAATCATAAAACTCTTAGAATTCTATTTTATTGTCTTTATTTTTATCTATCATCTAAAAGGAATCTACTTTATCATTATAAATTACAAAGAATCCTTTTATCTTTATTATTAATCAATGTTGTAATACCTTCTAAATATTCTCTTTCTGTGATATATCCTTCCTCATTCTAAAACCTATATTTAAATCATACCTTATCTAATAATTAAAATAGTCTATCAGCTAAAGGAGTATCTCTTAGTCTTTTCAATTAGATACTTTCAAATATTCCTAGTGCTTCATTAAATTTATCTCTGGTTAATCTTCCTTATGGAGAAGCTTATTTAAAAGCTCGTTTTATTTACTCTTCCACTTCCTAAGTTGTATTTTATCTTTAATAATTGTAATTTTAATTTGGATCAATGACTGTAATTGATGATTATCCCATAATATTAATAATTTTATTATAAACTAACTCTCTATAAACACTTACACTATAAAAAACATTATTTTAATCGAAAACTATATCCTAAAGATTTTGCATTTGGGTTTAATTTATTTACATAAAAAGTTTGCATGATATGTAACATATTTCATTAAGGTATTCAAAAAGGATCTATAGCAAAATCTATAAATTTCTTTAAAAAAAATAAATAAAAATTTATGAAAAATGAAAGATTCACTCATAATAATGAAATAGTTAATCAATCAATAATCATATTATGAATAGAAACTACTAATAGAATTATTAATTTAGAATTAATGCACTAAATAATTTACTTCTTTATTGTTAATTAAATAAATTATTTTATGAAACTAATTTATCTTCATGTCAGAATATCATTAAAATTATGAATTATGATTTGTGGTTGAAATTAACTTAAATATAAACTCCTTAAATTATTTCATATGAAATCAAATCTCAATTATGATGATATTTCATAAATTTTATAGTAACATTTACTAAATGAGTTTAAATAATAGCTATAATTATTCAAATGAATAGAAGGGCCTTTTTTGAAATAAAAAAAGTTTATGAATACTTGTATGCTATTGATGAGTTATTAATTTTGGTTGAATAATTAATATATCTAAATTTTTAATTAGAAAGCATCCTTTTCTTCTTGTTTGTCTATAAAAAAAGTAACTAATATTTTTTTTAAGTAAGAAAGTAAACTATATTACTAAAGTGTTTCATTAATGCTATTTTCTTTTTATAGACCTACTTATTAAATTAGTTATTAGAATTTAATAAAAATTAAATATGTTTTAAATGAAAATAACATTTTTTTTAATTTGTGTATCTATCAAAAATAACTTTAAATATCTTTTATATAGTTTAAGAACTTTTCTTAAATTTATTAATTTAAAATAAATTTATATGTATGTTAACATAATTAAATTTATATTTTCTTAAAATACTAATCTCACTTATGACCAAATTGAGTGCTTGCTACACGAGGACCTAATTTTAATCTAGCTTAAGCTGTCACTGGTAATTTATAAGGTTTATCACTATCTTTAATTATTCTTTCAAATATTTTATTAACTCCATGTCTTGAACGTGTTTTATGCATTATCCAAGATTTCAAATAATAACTTAAATAGTTTAATATTTATACCCTTTATTTCCTTATCCTTAAAATTTCTCTGTAACAATATCATATTTCTTAGATTTCTTTTCTTCAAACAATTTTTTTATTCTTTCTTACTCTTTTTCTGATAATTTTGCAATATCTACATTTCTATCAGGGGTCTTGAAACTAAAATAAATATCTATTTAATTAAATACTTTGTTTATAAATATCCTGATTCTACTTTTCTCATTTATTATAAATCAACTCCATAATCAACAGCTCCAAATTATTTTTCAAAATATAATTCAATTGCTATCAAATCTCTTACATATTCAAAAGGAAGATGAGGGAATACTTCATCAAAAAAGTATCTTTTTTAATATATGATAGCCTTTACTCTATATGGCATTATACCATATTTTATAGATAAATCTCTGACTGACCAACCTTCATTAAATAATCCAAACAATTCAAATTTTGCTCTGAATGATAATTTTGGAGCAGGAAGTTTTCTAGGTCTTTTTTTAGAAAAATTATCAGAATTTACTAACCATTTTTAATTATCTTGTATTCTTTTTTAAATGAGTTCTCTTGCTCTATTCACTCGTTTTATCCTTCTATTTCTAAATGAAAATCTTAATTTTCTCTTTTCGGTCATCTTTCTAGCAGCAATGCTTTTATTTTCAGGATTTTAATAAATAAAACTATAAACATTTTCCTTTTCTTGTCTTTCATGAACATTTTCATCTAAATCACCATAAAAGTTCAATTTATTTTTATATTTAGAATCTTTAGCATCATAATCTTTATGACTATATTTAATTGCTAACAAATTCTTATCAAAAAGTGAATAATCTTAATAATCTCTATTTTCTTTAAGTAAGGTATCCCAATCTTTTTTTAATGCATCAGACCTTATAATATCTTTACTTCTTTTCAATTATTCTTCTGGACTCAAACTTGAATAATATTAAGCAAAACTAATCATATTTTCAATCGAATATACCTATAATTAAGAATATTCATATATTAAGCAATTACAGCTTTTTCATTTGGAGACTCTTTTGACTATTACTTTTCATCCTCCTAATCTTTTTTAAATAAATTAAGCACAGATTCCTCACCTAATTTTTATTATCATAAAATACTTTATAAATTATCAGCTAAGGACTTATAAGTATTTTTAAGTTCATTAACAAATTACTCTTATTATTTAGTCAAAATTCGTTGCTTGGCTTTAGCTGTAGAACTTGAGAAATTTATTCGATGAATAAAGGGATTTCTCAAATGAAAAAAAGCAAATTTAATCATTAAATAATTTATAATCAATTATTACAATAAAATGTTTCATCATCTTTATTTTTTGATTGATTACTTTATATTATTAATGATAATATGATATTATATAAAAATATAGATGTCTTGATAAAATAGTTATACTTATAGTAGTTCTAATAATATTATCAATAATATATTCTAAATATAAACACATGACTTTTAAATAATTTAAAGTTTACATCAAATCTAAGCTTGAATTTTGATCTATAAAAGTATTCATAAAAAAAAATCAATTATTTTAATGGAAAATGAAAGTATAATAAAATTATTTTTAATTTTTTGATTAAGTTAAATAAAATAATACATTCATAACACTTAAGATTAACATGAATCTATGAAATATAATCTATGCTTAATTTCAATAATTTTATTTTTATAAGCTGTTGTAAATTATTTAATGTTTAGTACAAAAAATCAAAATCACAGAAAAACTGCTTCAAGTGCTAAAAGTAATGAAACCTAAAAAAAAAGTAGTAATCAATATTAATCCAGATATACTAACATTTAGATATTTTAATAATTAACATGTTTGAAAATGTTAAAAAAATTAGTATTAGGAACTTCCTAATCACTCAATAAAAATAATTCCAAGACAAGAATATTTACAGAAGGAAATGAAAAACAATTAAAATTACATACATCTGCATCTCCAATAAAAAATAACAACTATTAATAATCATCATCACCCCCTAGAAGAAATACCAGTTCTTAAGTAAAAGCAATAACTAAATTACTAAATAAAAATATAAATCACACAGAATATAAAAGAGTAACAAGGGATTAAAGAAATCAAAGTGCTGATTTTTAATAATTATTAGCATAATAATAATTAAGGCAAGAGAATTATCTATTAAAAAATAATAGTAAAAAGAAATTCAATTCTTATGGCAATTTAAATGATTAAGTTTATTTTTCTTAAAAGGGAGACTTAATGGAATGTTAATCGACTGTTTAACTTATTTAAAATAATTTTGAGTAAAAACTGATAAATTCAAAAGGCTCATTTTCTATGAAACACTTCCCATCTCCAATGAACATATGTACATAATAAATTACATTGTAAGAGTTTAAAGACAAATTAAACAAGTTTAGTAAAGATTTAAAATAAAATAATAATAATATTTTTGAAGAATTATAGAAAACTCAAAAGAAATAATAATAATATCGTTATGATAAATATGATTATTAAGAGAGTGAAAAGTAAATTAGATAAGAGATTTCTTAAAGAAGCAAATCAGTTGATTCTTAATCATCAAGATCTAGATTGGAGATTTTGAAATATTCAAAGGATTATTTAAATTAGAAGAAAATAAAATAGTAATAAAATATAAAAGAGGAAGAATTTATAATCAATACTTAAAATTACATAAATTAGAAAAAGTTAGAAAATAAAATTGATCAATTAGTTTTTTAAATGTAAATTTTAAAGAAAAAATCTGAAGAATTAGAATTATAAAATAGATTTTTATTTGAAAATTTAACATAATTTTAGAAGGAATCAGATTGTAATGCTGAAGTATTAAATATTATATTATATATTATAGGAAAGAAATTTACTTATGAATAAGTTGGATTAAATGATAGGAATGTAAAAAAGATAGGAAGAGAATCTTAATTTTTTTAAGTAAATATTTGTCAAAGAAAATGATTAATCTCGAAGAATAAAAACTGAATAATAATAGTAATAATAATTATAAGAGGATAATATATAGTTAAATTAAAGAACAGAAATATTATCAAAATAAAGACCATTTGTCAAGTCAGCTTATCAAGGACTTGAATTTAATGTCTGATTTTAAATTTTAAACAAAAAAAACCCAACTATTTTATGATCTATATTTAATTAAAATATCTAATAATAAATTATTATCTTTGATTTTTGAATTTATTTTAGATATCTTTAAATTAATAAATGATTTATAATTCATATTTGTATTATCTATTTGATTATTAGTTTGGTTGAATAAATAAAAAAATTAATTATTTTAACAACCTAGAAATGAAATCTAAGTATAATCCTTAAGAAAAAAAACTGACGGTAATAATGAATATGATTAATTAGAATATTTCTTATGATTTGAATTCAAATAACAAACCAAAATATTATATATCAAACACAACATGCCATAAAGAAAATTAAAAGTTTTTTAATTGTAGTAATATGTCACCAATAGTTGTTGAATCATCTACTCCAAGAAAAAGACTTATATCTGGCAAACGAGTTAGTATTCTTAATTCTATATTAGACTTAACCAAAGGCAAATTGTTCAAATAATAACTCAAACAATAAAATTTAAAATAGATAGAAAAAATCATCATCTAATTAGAGAACTAATTTAACTGTTAAGACTGGATCATCAATTGAAGCACTTAAGGAATTAATTGGAAAAAGTAAGTGTAGAATATAAATTAGGCAACTTGAAATAACTATTATAAATTAATACAGATAAATTCAAGAATACAAAAGAAATATCATTTATTGATACTAAAAAGAGTAACTCAAGTGAATTTGGATATGATAATAGATTCAATAAATAATTTTAATAATTTTAGACTGTTAAAACAACAACAAATAAATCAGAACCAAAAGATAGAACTACATTTAAAGTATAAAAAATATCATAAATTAATAGAAAGTATTCTCAAAAATTATGGACCAAGAAAAATCTATGTCACCTAATAAAAAGATAGATTGGAGCAAAATAAAATTACCATTAACTACTAAAGAATGTATATAATAATTTGGATAATATTTGACTGATTTTGAGAAATAAGAGATTCATGGATTCAGTAGAGTAATTTTAAGTTAAAAGATTAGATTTATTGCATAGGGATTACATCCAAAAAAATAGATTAAAAATAATCAAACTACAATGATGGTTTTGATGATTCAAAAGGTGAGTATTTATATTCACTTAATGATCATATTGGATACAGATATGAAATTTTAGAAATAGTTGGAAAAGGTAGTTTTGGATAAGCATTTAAAGTTTATGATCATAAGAGATAATAAGTGTAATGTTTAAAAATTATAAGAAACAAAAAGAAATTTACAAATTAAGCTTTAGTTGAATTAAATATATTAACATATGTTAAAGAGAAAGATGAAGAGAATGTAACAAATATTGTAAAAATAAAAGATTTTGTAATTTTTAGAAATCATGTGGTATATTTTATTGATTTAAATTTTTTAGTGTATCTCATTTGAATTCTTATCAATAAATTTGTATTAATTAATAAAGAATAATAATTTTTAAAGTTTATCTTTAGAACTTATAAGAAGATTTGCAATTTAAATTTTAAATGCATTGAATTTTTTAAGTAAACATAAAATAATACATTGTGACTTAAAACCTGAGAACATTTTATTAAAGTAAGAAAACAAAAGTGGGATTAAAATTATAGATTTTGGTAGTAGTTGTTTTGAAAATTAAAAGATTTACTCTTATATTTAATCAAGGTATTATAGAGCACCTGAAATTATGTTTGGTATTCCCTATGATACAAGTATTGATATGTGGAGTTTTGGATGTATAATGGCAGAATTATATTTGGGATACCCAATATTTCCAGGTGATGATGAATAAGAATAAATTGCATATATATTAGAAATCCTTGGTATGCCAGATAAGGAACTTTTAGAAGTAAATATTTAATCAAAATTATTTAAGATTGCATAAAGAAGGAAAGTTTTCTTTAATGATATTCCCCCTTTTTAGCCTTTATGTATGTAAAATAAAGGGACAAAATTAAAAATACCTGGTAGTAAAACATTATCAGAAGTTTTATAATGTAAGGATAATAATTTTATTGACTTCTTATAATAATGTTTAGTTTGGAATCCTAAACATAGAATAAGTCCTATTGATGCTCTTATGCATGTTTGGATACTTGATGGATTACCTAGTCAAATTAGACTTTAACATGTTTAATATTTAGAAAGTTAATAACAATACTTAGATGTAAATGATAGAAAATAAGAAATTAATTTAAAATAAGGTTAATAAGGATAATAAAAATTACCTATTCATCATATATCAGAACCTGAAATGAATTAAGAAAATAAAGTAATAAATTTTAACATACTTTAGAAACCTAATCAAATTAGAACATTTTCTAGAGATAAAGAATTATTGATTAATATTTCATAGAATCCTACTCCAAATAATAAGAAGATTTCTTAATCTTTTCATTCTAGTAAAAACAGTCATAAATAGTAATTGAATTTTATTCAATAATTCCCGGGAACTACAAAATGCACTAATAAGAAAACTCATTATTTTTATTGAAATTTAATTAATTATGTATGATATCACTTTTATATATTATAAATATATATATATATTCTCAATATTAATATTAAAAATTTGAAAATAAATATGTCATAATACGATAATCCCAATAATTGTTTAGATGGTTTTATTGAATAACTCAATAAATGTAAACCTTTGACAGAAATGGATGTTAAATGGTTATGTGAAAAAGCTAAGGAAATTTTGTAGGAAGAAAGTAATGTTTAACCAGTTAGAGCACCAGTTACTATTTGTGGTGATGTTCACGGATAATATCATGATTTAATGGAATTATTTAAAATTGGAGGTAAACTTAAAGATAATATTATTAAGGTAATGTACCAGATACAAATTATCTTTTTTTGGGAGATTATGTTGATCGTGGGTATTATAGTGTAGAAACTGTATCATTACTTTTAGCTTTGAAAGTCAGATATAAAGTATGTATAATTTAAATTTAAAATAGGATAGAATAACTATTTTAAGAGGCAATCATGAATCAAGATAAATTACATAAGTTTATGGATTTTATGAAGAATGTGTAAGAAAGTATGGTAATGCTAATCCTTGGAAATATTTCACTGATTTATTTGATTATCTCCCAATTACTGCAGTAGTTGAAAATTCAGTAATATCTATATAAATTACATAAGATCTTTGGTTTACATGGAGGATTATCTCCTGATGTAGCAACTCTTGATGAAATAAGAAGATTGGATAGAATATAAGAAGTACCTCATGAAGGTCCTTTATGTGATTTATTATGGAGTGATCCTGATGGTATATTTTTTATAATTATATTAAAGATCGAAATGGATTTAATTCATCACCAAGAGGAGCAGGTTTTACTTTTGGTGTAGATATTTCTGAAAAATATAATCATACAAATGGATTAACCATGATTGCCAGAGCACATCAATTAGTTATGGAAGGTTTTTAAGAAACACATGATAAGAATTGTGTTACATTATTCTCTGCTCCAAATTATTGTTATAGATGTGGAAATTAAGCTGCCATTCTAGAAGTAGATGAACATATGAACCAAAATTATTTACAATTTGATCCTGCTCCTAGAAGAGGAGAACCTCATTTAACCAAAAAAACACCAGATTATTTCTTATGAAATTATTGATTTTGGTTGTTTCAATTTAATATTAATTTATTAATTATTCATGAGTAAAACTTTAAGATCTAAAAATATTGCCCCCAACATTGAATTCTGTAATGAAATGGCTAATAATTAAAAATTACTCAAAGCCAAAAAAAAGACTCTATCTAAATTGAGAGCAGAATTAGGAAATATGAATATCATTATGCCTATGACAAACTAAAAAATAGTACAAAGAAAAATTGAAAGTATATAATACATAGATATCTCTCTTTAGACCTTAAGACTTAATTAGAAAAATAATAAGATAATAAATAAGGAGTAACAAATTATGGTAATCTAACGAATTAGAATATACAAAAATAATCACCCTTATTAAGATTAGAAAATTTATAATAAATGAGAATTAAAAGTGGAATAAGAACAACAAGCGATGGAGATGTTGTATACGTTAAACAACTTTAAAAAAATTAAAATTTGTCAATCTCTAAAAATTGATTAAATTTATAAACTTTATAATAAATTTATAAATAAAACTTTCCTCTATATTATTATTCTATATAAGTTAGTAGTAATTTATGTAAAATTTTGAATTAAATTTATAATATTTTACAAATCATGTTTATATTAATTTCAAAATTTTAGATAATGTAAATTTAATTGTAATTATATGTAAAATTGAAACAAACATTCAAAAAAGTTAGTATGATCTATATAAAATTATTTTTGATATTTTTGAAATTGACCAAATACTTTCACTTCAATATATCCAAATATTTAAAAAAATAAAATTATTAAAATTTACAAAAATGTCAACCTCTAAATTAATATATTCATCACCAGGACCAAAAACTTAATCCACAATATCCCTTGGAGGTGATAAAGATAGAGCACTTTCTCCTTGTAGAGCTAAGATTTCTTAATTATCAGAAAAACAATCTAATCTCCAAAATTCAATTGATGAGGATTAGGCAATATAGAATCTATAATGCTGAATAGTTTAAAAAAGATACTTTCGAATAAATGGTTAAGGTTTTTGTAGACAAAGCAATAAAAAAGCAATAAGGAGATGAATCAAAGTTTAAGCTATTAAAAGAATAATTATAAAATGTAGAGGAAGGAGCTTAAAGAGATAAAATTATAAGAAAAGTAAGACAAAAATTGAATTATCTAATAGAGTGGAGATGAAAAATTAAGAACCAAATATTTAAAAGGGTTAGAATTAGTTTTAGGATAATAATTATAGTTGTAAAAAGTAAATAGAAAAGATTATGAATAAAAAATAACAAAAACCACAGATGATAGAGTTTCCAGTCTATGACTAGATTTAGCCAGATAAAAAAGTATAGAAAAGAAACAGAAGAAAAAATGCTTAAGAAATTGAGGATAGAATTTTATAACAATAAGAAGAAAGAAGATTAAGGTTTTATTTGTATAACTTATAGGGAATAGGAAATTAATAAATTATTAAAAGATTGAGAGATTCAATCTTGAAATTATAAGAAATATTAACAATAATAAGCTTAGATGGTTATATGAAATAAATTCTTATTTGAATGGAGAATTGAATTCTGAAAAAATGAAAGAAATGCTCCAGAAAATAGTATTATTAATCTTATTGATTAAACTTGTAATAGGGTTGAATATCCCTTAAGAAAATGAACTATTAACAAATTATGTATAAAAAAAAGAATTTGTTTCTTTTAACAATTATTAAAAATATGTCTCAAATGGAAGAAGAATATTGTAACTTTGAGGATGAGATGGCATAAGTTAGTAGTAGCAGATCTCCAAAGTCAAAGAAAATAAAAAAAAGTGATTCTCTTTCCCCAAGAAAAAATATTGGTCATTGGACGAAGGAAGAGCATGACAAATATTTATAGTTTTTAGAAGATCATGCTCATTTAAAGAAAAATAATAAAATCTTCAAACCAATGTCAGAAATCATTGGAACTCGCTCTCCTAGTTAATGCAGGTTAATCATTGAATTTATTTTAGATCTCACCATCAAAAATTTAATCCTTTATCACCCTAAGTTTAAAGAAAATCTGTTAAATTGATTAAAATAAACTAAGAAACAAAAGTACAAGCATAATTATAGGAGGAAACTAATGAAACCTTAGAAGATGAAAAATAAATAAAAAATAATGTACGATTAGTATTCTATGATGATGAATTAGCTTAAGATGATAATGAATTTAATTTAGATGACATTATCTGATAGAGTTATTATTTTTAATTATGTAATTCTTCTTCTTATAATATTTTCAATTATATATACTAAAATGCTGAAGCTTTAGACAAGTGAACTAATTTATATTATATATTATAATTATTGATCTAAATACTCTCTTATTAAAAATATAATAAATATATTTCTAAATATGAATAGAAAAGAAATAGTAGAAAATGAATTGATATCAATCAAGGATAATAGCTAGAAATATCCTTAATTATTTAAAGTAAACCATTCAAATTTATATCTTTAAAGGTATTAGAATCAAATTTGTTAGAATTAGATACTCATTCTTTATTATAGCAATTATTGCCTTAAATTGTCAGTTCAAAAAATATTAAATTAATTTCATTAGGAATAGGATTAATCCAGAAATTGTAACATTTTACATAATTAACTACAGTATTATTTAAATTATATTAGAATGACCTTGATATCATAATTGAATATTTTAATATTTCAAAATAACAGTAGGATGAAACAATAGACATAAGGTTAGTTTCAACTTTAATTCAAATTATTGGTCCTGATATTATCGATTTTAAAAATTCAAATCAAATTCTTAAAGTCTTAAATTTGTTAATATACTTTTCATCTTCCAATAATTCAATTATAGCATAATCATCAATATAAGGTATTCTTACTATTAGCAATGTTTTGGAAGAATTATTATAGAACAAATAGAAAAATGAACTATTGCAATCCTATTTTGAATTATTAGAATTATTTTTTAAGATATTTCAAGATAAGGAGCAATCATTTATTTATGTATCAAACAACTTAATATTATGTATTTATCTTATCTGATTTCAATCAAATTAGGCAAAGATATTTTCATTATAATTCTGAAATGTGGAAAATATTTACAGCAAATTGAGCAATTTCATACTTTTTATCATGAAACTCTATATACCTATTTAAAAAGTATAAATTTAATATAGGAGACAAACATAATGAATAGTAAGAATCAAAATTTAATTAGAAATTAACATGATAAGATTAATATTTAATTATATATTAACAATCGAGGACAAATTTGATTTAATAGCTTTATTGATGAATACATATAGTAAATTAAAACCAAATGATTAAAGTAAAATAGCAATTCATGATGGCATTTTATGTCTATATTCAAATTTAACAATATTCAAAAATTTATTAATAAGATAACCAGTTGGTAATAGTTATAACGGTATCTATTATCTTATATTTATAATTAGATTATAATGATTTAATATTGAGATCTATTTATTAATATTGTCTTTGTGGAATAAAAGAATATCAGACTTAACAATCTCCAAAATAAAGTATTTTGATAAACAAATTAACAGCATCTTATATTGATTGCAATTTACAAATGCTACCAAATATTTTTGTATAATAAATTAGTAATATAAAATATATTAAAAGTTAGAAAGTTTAACTTAGATAATTACTGACAATATGCAAAAACTTCTTTAGTTAGATGAATTTCAAAATGATGGGAATGGTTAATTATAAGAAATTAAGAATTATAGCCGACTCTTGTAATCTACAATATTTAACAGTGAGAATGATGATCAAATGGCAGAAATACAAGAAACTGAAAGTGATGATATAAGACTTAAAACATTTTTTGAAAAATTATGGAGACCTCTTCTTAGAATTATGAAGCAGATTCTAAAAATAGCTAATAATTAATAATATATTAATTTATTAGAATATTTATAATCTTGGATTTAATTTAGTTTAGAGCAAGATTAAATAAATAGTTTTTAATTACTAATTAGATTTTTGGCTGCTTAATCTGCTCCATCAACTTTAAAGTATAATGAAACAGATAAATGGCTAATTGCATGTAAAATATTTGAAGAAATTCTTTATAGCAATGTAAATTTATTAAATGCAAAAACATGGAATCTTATATTCTAAACATTATAAAGAATAGAATAAGTTGTTACTAAATCAACTTAAATAAAGATGACAAATGAGATATTTTATCGTAGTACATAATATCAAGATGCAACTGTTTTTTAAATGGTTGATGGATTAAATTAATTAGCACTTTAAGTTTCAGAAAGACTTCAAATAAGTCAAAAGAAAACTTTTGATTCAATTTATAAATCATTTGCAATTGATAAATTACTACTTATAATTAATAACAATTGGTAAAGAATACATTTACTGTGGACCATAATAGATGCTTTGTATTTCTGTTTATGTAGTTCCAAAGTAATGGAAATGCGTCTTAATGCTATTCATAAATATAGAGATACAATATTTTCAGGTATTGAATATAATAAAAATAATAAATTGAAATGGGGAGATAATTGGATCTAATATTTATTAAATCCATTATCTGAATTAATAACTCTACCATATGAAGATCTTAAAGAAAATATTTTATAAATAATATCAAATTTAATTCAAGAACATCATAAATATTTGCCTTAAGAAGCTTTTAAGATTTTTGTTTAATTAATTGAAGTTGTATTAAATGATTTTTTTAGCAAAGAATTCAATCATCAAGAATTAAATTAATAAGAATATAAATCATTAATATTTAGAACCTAGCTATCCATTTAATGTATTTGTGATATCATATCTAATCATATTGATAATTTAGATAAATCTTCAATTTGTAAATTAGCTTAAATATTTATATAATTAAATAATCAAAATGATTGTAAACATAATATATAATTATTATAGTTAATTTTGAAATTACTAATAAAATTATTTGTATGACTTGGCAAGTTTAAGAGAAACTTGCATAATTAGAAATTATTGATAATGAGTTCTAATAAATTTGTTTGAAGCTTTATAAAAATTGTTTAGATAATCAAGACGATCTAAAATATGCTTCAATACATATTTCAAGTTAAATCTGTTGTATAGCTTAGGATTCTTATTTTACAGAATTGTTTTCAATACTAGAAGAATTAATTTAACATTCAATGGATTATTTTCTTAAGATTGAATAACATTAGCTATTTCTTATCTAATAGACTCCTAGATTTATATAATTACCAATGGAAACTCCTAAATTCTAAGGAACAATTAAATAAATGATTTTTGACAAATCTACATCCTTATAATTATTTAAGCAATAATTTGAATTAGTAAAGTTATGCATATAAAAAATAATAGATGTTATTATTCATAAATCATTATATCCTAAATTCTACTATTATTTGCAATTATTTAATTAGGCATAATGTGTTTATGTAAAACATGAAATAGTATTGGCATGTTAAAGAATAATAAAGTCTAATTCAGATAAACAACTATTAATAGGTTCTATTGATTTCTTAGTTACTCTAATTAATTATGAATAAACTTTAGATTTAGAGGATGTTTAATTTTATATGGAGAATAAAACTTTCGAAATATTTTGTGATGTAATTAAATTAACTATACCTATAAATCATAAGAAAGGATTGTATGCCTTATAATTATTGTTCAATTTTTTATGTTAAGATCAAATAATTAATATATTGAATGATGATAATAATATATTCAATTACTATTATAAATAATGTTTATAATTTGATATGCTTGAAGAGGATATAATAGCAGAATGGTTGCATTTTATAAATTAATAAATATCTTAATTAAGTATAGTTGTAAAACATCAATACTTTGTTGAGTTTCTTATAAATAGTTTTGAAATCATAATTAATAAAAGATAATTAAATAAAAATGATTTGAATGAAGCAAATAAATTTGTTGGTGTTCTAAATGGTCTTTTAAATGTAAAAATTTATATATTCAATAGAAATGTTAAAAAATAATTAATGATAATTCTGAGAAACTATAATTAATTTTAATGACAAAACTAAAAAGTATCATAATAAAAATGATACCATCTTTAGATTAAAGTTTAATTGAATAGTTATTTGAACCTCTTATTACATAATAATTAACAAGTAAAATTTATAAAAAATTTATAGTTTCAAACAAAAGAACATAAGATTGGATATCATTTTATGTAAATGATGTATCATAATATTTAAATAATGAATAATAAAATGTTTTTATTTAATTGTTTACTAATAATTACATGAATAAGTTAAAGATATCAGAACCTGAAACATAATAATTGATAATAATTAGTTTAGTAGGATTTCTAGATATGGATAATCCAATTATAGAAAAGTTTTCATTATCTATTCGAGATACTCTATTAAATAGCATTCATGAAAATTTATAATTATTCTTGAATGAATAAAATATCTCAAATGAGAGATAATTTAATATTTAACTTATGTTAGATTTTTTAACTAGATTTGAGAAAAATGATTTAAAAGAATTTTATTCCATTTTTGTAAAAATGATAAAATGTGAATCATTAGAAATTAGAACAAAACTTATAATACTTCTTAATAAATATGTTTGAATTTATGTTTATCTATATATATATATATTTTCTGAATCTGCTAAAAAAAATTAAAAAACCATTATAAATAATCAATATTTAATCTATTTACATAAATTAACGTATTTTTAAACAACCTAAGAAAATTCAACAAAACTTATCTTTTCATCTCCATTCTGATCAAATTAATTAAAGATTTCTTTACAATCATTATCATAATCTTCTCTTCCAATAAATTTAAATAATTCATCTAAAGTAATACATCCATCTTTATTCTTATCTAATACATCAAATGCCACCCTTATTTTATCTTTATTACTTAATTAATAATATACCATCAATATCTGATAATTTACAAGTTGCAGCCACAAATTCACTAAAATCTAAAGATCCACTTTAATTAACATCCAAAAAATCAAATATTTTATCAACTTTATCATCTACTTAATTTTTTGAATATATTTATAATAATGCACATTTAAGTTCTTCTTTTGAGATTGTTCCTAATGATTTTATATAATTTATTATACCATTATTGTCCTTATCAATCTTTCGAAATATTCTATTCAACACTTTTTTATCATCCTTATGAACTAATTCAGTGGCAATAAATAAAACTATGGCTTAT